TTTATGATTACTAAGGCCACACCTGCAGAGATGTTGATCTCTTTGAATTATCTTAACTCAAGGACTGAGCATATTAATTTTACTATGGAATGCGATCCAGTAAGCATTAGTTTTCTTGATGTTCGAGTATACAAATGTGATGGGAAACTCCATACCGATCTGTACCGAAAATCAACGGATCGTAATATGTAATAGCAAATTTTCTATTAAACAATCATCAAAGCGTAAGAGACAGTCTGAGAATTAAAAATGATTTATTTCTTGCAAGAAAGGTTCAATTGTCCCACAGAGGTAGTCAATGTACAGTCTGCGAGGCAAATGAGACGAAGCATCAGAGGGGGAGAGTAGTTTTATACAGCTTATCTCAAGGTCTGTTCGTCTACCATAGATGGGCTAAAGTTCATTTCTCTCTAGTCAGGAAATAGTAATAATGACCTGAACTTTAGGGTTTGGTCATGCTTTCTCTTACTCTAAAACCGGCCTGTACTCTGACCTTTGGGGTCAAAAGTCCACCCGTCTCTCCCCGTCCGCTCATCTCACCTGCTCGCCTCAATCAGCAGTAGCAGCATTCATTGGTTTGGAAGAGATGGGAATAATTCTGCCATAACATAATACTATTTTAAGAGGCGATACTTTCCATCCTTCCTTTAATTAAGAGCTTACCTATCAGTCAATTTAAGCATGTGCGTAGAGTTTGTAGCACGGATGAATCTTATACTCATCAATGATTTAACTAAAAGATTCTTGAATCGTGGTTACCGTATAGAATGGATCGAAAATGCCAAAAAGAAATTCAATGAGACATCTCAAATGCAGTGTTTGCGAACAAAACAGTGATAAAACGCAAGTTCTTAATGCTCCCATTTGCACGACGAAGTATTCAGCATTGGGTGCGGAGTTTCGTAGAGTCTTAAATAAACACTGGCATATTATTTCAAGTGATCCTAAATTATCAGGTGTCTTTAAAAATGGTCCGAAATTAGTCTTTAAACGTCAAAACAATCTTCGTGACTTGCTTGTAAAATCTGAATATCCTTCACGTACAAAACAAGGTATTCCAACTCTTCCTCCAGGTAACTACATGTGTGGTAATTGCGCCCAGTGTGCTTTTACACACAAATGTAAAGCGTTTAGTCATCCACCTACTGGTCGTGATATTCCGATTACCTGTGCTTCCACTCATGTGATTTATCTAATTCGTTGTCCTTGTGGTCTTGCATACGTGGGTAAAACATTCAGACAATTACGCACTCGTATTAGTGAACATCGCAGTAATATTAGAACTGGAGATATGCGCAGTCCTATAGCGTCTCATTTTAGACAAGTAGGCCATAAGGTCAGCGCTTTGCAGTATATCGGTATAGAAAAGGTTACAAAATCCTCAAGAGGAGGAGATTATGAGAAGAAATTATTACAGAGGGAATGTTTTTGGATTTATACTTTGTCACCTTTACACTTTACACTTTGTCACCTTTAGGGTTGAATGAGGATTTTGATATTAAGCCATTTTTATAGTGATGTTTTTTTTTTTGTGACTTGTCACGTGACTTGTATTTGTCACGTTACTTGTATTTGTCATGTTTTTTGGGGGGGGTTTTGGTGACTTGTCACGTTACTTGTATTTGTCACGTTACTTGTATTTGTCATATGAATTTTTATTTTATTTTATTTTTTGTGCCCAAGTAAGGTGATCACCTGTGTCTATTTAAAGTTTACTTCACTCTACATTGGTATTGTGCCTGATGAAGACCTGAGGGTCGAAATGTTGCCTTTTAATAAATCCTTTGGAGCAGTCATTTTCAGTGTGCGGACTTCACACTTCTTTATTTGTTTATATCACTTAGTTGTCCTGCACCTTAGCCCAATCTGGGTGTTTGGGATGTGCACACCATTTTTGTATTTTTTTTACTTTTATAGCAGATATAGGACCACAAAGCGAAGGCAGAAGTGCCTTTCACCCTGTTACGACTTGATGAACCACTGAAACGATTTTGGAAACATTATTTTAAGGTAAAAAATCTTCTTTAGTGTTGCTTTAACGTCAACTCACCTCAATATGTTTTCTCAGATTTCATTTGAGGGTGAAGTTTTGAATGCTGAAATTTCATTTACCCTTGGCAGGCAAAGAAGACATTCAGCCGATAAGAATCTCCCTTGACTTCAGTGAATTCGAACATATCATTGAGATATGGCCATGGGTGATCCCTGTCGGAAATCTCGAGATCATTGCTGGCAGCGAGAGCTGCACCTTCACCTGTTTCTGAGGTCATCTTCAACTTCGCAATTCGCAATGGCAAACTGACTGCTATGTGAGCGTATGCTGGCAAAGAGCTCATGCGTTCTTTTTTTCAAAAGAAAACCAAGTTTTTTCATTGGTTTGGAAAGCCAGTGAAATAAATACTTGGAGCAGGCATGGGGATCGGAGTAAAAAGTAAACTTTGTCTTTAATATTGTAGTGGGGTAAGAGTGAAAGTAGATGCAAATAAACATGCTCAAGTAAAGTACAGATCCCCGGAAAAAATACTTAAGTAAAGTAACGAAGTATTTTTACTTTGTTACTTACCACCACCTCCGTACATTGCTACACTATTAACAAAAGACAATGGACCTTTCTTGCACGTGAAATTTCTCTAATGTGACTGTACCTTTACTCAGAAATCAAGCGTAGCGTTAGTTCTGGCAGGTCCCGTTAGTCAAGCTTGCATCAGCTGACTCTCAGCTGATCCACATCTACCTATAGGAATATGACGCCTATCACTGTGTACATATATAGCTAAGCTCCTGCAGTATTTTCAGCAGCTATCGCGTTTCTCAGGAGCTAATTACCCTCCTCCATCCCCAGCTCCTCCTCTCGTCAGTCAGGATTTGCTATTCTGATTACCCCTGAATCAGACTAAAATTCTCTAATTATGTTTTCATTAAAATGAATTAATAATATCTGCAATACATTCAAGTTGATTCTGTTCTGTTTACCCTAAGGGGTTGTTATTGCTGCTCTCCCTGCTCTTATCCATGCTAGGCTGCATGGATGCGCAGGGAGTTCTCGCCCAGAACGGAACCATATACCGCCAATCCAAACTGTATGCTAATTGTCAATCGTATTTGACGATAGTGGTCCTGACAGAATTCCTGAACACATGGATTCCTATTGCAATGACTGAAATTCTAGAACCACTTCAGATCACTGTAATCTTTCTCACTTGCTGTTTTTGTAAGGTGATTTCTGTTGTACTTTTCATAGCTTTATCACACACTATAACATTTCTCTCAAAAGAAACCACCCAGGCAGGATAAAAGCTGACAGATCAAAGTAGAGAATTTATCTCAAAGTCTTACTGGAGCCAAAGAGGGAAAATGCAAATAGTTCTAAATGATATATATGACTTGGACAAACAAATAAAATCCGATCGTCTTCTCATGACATAAAACATGGCAGCTTTTGTTGTGCTAAAGCCAATACTAAAGCAAATCCACTGATTTGCAACATATGACCACAGAAACCCACTGCAGGAACCAGGTCGATATGTGACTGTTTTCTTTAGTCAGACAGATTGCAGTATCTGAATGAGTAGCACAAAACTATCACCTTCAACAAGGCACACCATCCATTTGGAATTCCGAACTGCAATTATCCCCTTCCTGGTGCAAGGAAGTTGCCATAGTGACTTGCCCTGGGCTACATGGAGTGCAAAGGTAAACACCAAAACCAAAAGGCAATATCTGACCTGCTGTGCTCCTCAACATTTTTCACCAAGAAAGCTGCATGCTTGATATTTTCAGTCTCTCCTAACAGCTCATATCTTCCACTGCTCAATATAATTGAACTTATACTGTACCTAGCACTGTAAGGGTCAAATTGCCTTAGACATGGTGACTGTTTTTCTACTAAATACTGAATGAATGATATGTTAGGCTGTGTATGTGTAACAAATATGTTTTTCTACTGCTTTAAATGTTTTACGTGAAGTGAATCTGTAGATCTTGTCTGTGTGATAGAAACAGAGCCATTATGCCATAAATATTTTTAGATATATCCAGTTGAACATTCTAACATGGCATTATCAATTAGTTTGCATCAAAATGTAAGGAATTAATAAGTGCACAGTGAAGTCTTCCGCACAATGCTGCAGGTTACATGCTTTGCAGGACATCTTTTCCAAACATAAGATTAGCATGTAGATTATTATGCAGACTTCCAAAACAACCAACATGCTGAAATATAATACGTTGTAACATGTCCTGGCATGTTCTGCGGTGTAGACAAGTGCACTGTTTTCATAGCAGAATGAATTAAATCTTTTGTGACGTTAACACTGTGGAAGCTTGTAAGTCTCACACTGACATCTAGTGGGACTCAATGGTAATAATGACTCTAAAAAATATGTCAATCTCTCAGATTGCATAGTCTGTCTTATTACGTACATATCAACACTGTAAATATTTAAATGGTTTGTTTTGCTTTGATCATCATTATAGCTTTAATCATGTATGAATTAAATGATGAAGACATTTCTTAAATACAGTTTTAAATTTACTTTCATAGCAAAAATCGACATTCCAGAACTTAGAGTCTATATAAGACAAATTTACAGATAAAACTATATGCTTTAGGCCTATTTACACATGAAACTTTATTTATTTCAGTTCACTTTAAATTTGGGGGTTGGTATAATAAGTGTGAACAAAAGAACGAAAAGAAAAAGTATGTTGTTGTTGTTTTATTCTAACACAAAATGATTTTGTCCCATACCTTTGATATATTCTGTCAAAGCGATTTCAATGTGACCCGGATCAAAATACAACTTTAATTTACATTAACTGCACAAATTTTGCATTTTGGTGCTGTTAATGTATCATGCACAGGTCAAATTAGGATAGCTCTATGCACGATGATGCTCACGATGAAAACCAGCAGATGGCACTTTACGCGTGTCTGCCGTACTACACCTACATCATTATTCGCGTCGAGTCAGCAGAGGGCGCCCGTGAGCGCGAATCTTTCAACAACACATCGGTCGCGTCTCAACCGCGCGCCTCTAGGCGCAGTCAAATGGCGCTTCTCCAGAGAGCCACGGCAACCAGTCCGACCAGCTGATGGTAATTAAGGTATAAAGCGCTTTCCCCGATATATTACTGTCTTTCTTTCTTATGATTCTGTAAGCTATTATTTTTTATTTTATATGCGACAAATGCGGACGTATATGAAGATATTGCGCTTAGTTGTGCGTGAAGCTGTTATTCCTATAACGGACTGACAACTGATAGATTCATCCTAAGGTAAGCAATGCATGTAGACATGTAACGTTAGTGGTACTTTAAATCATTCTGTTTTACAGCAGTGATTTGTTTTGCTTGCATGCATTGTATGTTTTATTTAAAAATGTAGCTGTTGTTGACGTTTGTAACACGTAACATGCTGCAGATATTTTATGAGTAAGTTAGGCACAAGCGTTTGGGAAATCTCAGCATGCGACCAGGCTGATCCGATTCACATAATCAAGGGAAACTCCATTATATCTTATACGAGCTGGTCATACAACAACAGGCTTCCCAATAGGGCTTTCCCTTTAACTATGACCAGTAGCCTAGCATTAATGGTAGGCTAATGGTCACATCTAAATGTATGGGTTTAAATCACTTCAGAAATGTAGGTTACTTTTAGGAAACCAAGTGTTGTTTACTAACGGCTAGACTACTCCGAAAACAGATGAGATCATGTGTTCCCTTTCCCAGGACATAGCTCAGTCAAAACATGACCTTTTACTATGTTTGTGGGAGTTGTTCTTAATAGTTTGTTATATAATGCTGACAGTCTACTGTTGATTCATTGGGTGAATATGCTTCCCACATTTGTTGTTTATGCAGGGTGTTTAATGAAAATCGGTTTGATCAATGTGAAATAACCATTTTTTAACAAACCAGCTGTCAGTAAAATGTGTGTTTATAGAGAAAGAGAGACAGAGACACTAATTTAATAATTATATTGTTATTTCTTAGTTTTCTGTTAATAATTAAGAAAATGTCAACTAAACTAAAAAGTCTAAAGTAATCTGTGTAGGCTACCTGTAGTGAGGACAAGAGGCTGCGGTGACTAACTGTATGCTGATCACCAGCTTTACAGAAGGTGTATTTATGTCTGGTGGAGCATAATATCAGCCTACAGGGGTGTTAGACAAATTTTATGGCATTTTATGGACTGGACTAAGTGTCCCCTCATATATTATGTTGTCTTATACCTTAGGAATGTTTTAAAAATGTATGACTAATTTAAATCACATACTTCCTTAGACAAACTCTGATCAACATGATCAAATTACCATGAAATGTATCTTATTCAGCCTTATTCGGTGGTTGAGAAATATAAAAAAATTTTGTACCTCTCCATGTTTAATGAGTGACTCACACAAACTGCAGGTAAATATGAACTGGGACACTTTTCACTCCGATTTAGATGAAAACCTTGTATTTTTCACATGTGTTTGTTTTATTTAAGGAGGTTCTGCTGTTTTTAGATGTGAGCTTTAGCTAAAAGTAGAATATTATAAATATATAATACAGATATGCAAAATGTACTTGTGGTTTATTTAAAGTCATTTAATTTCAATATTTTTCTGCAAATCATCCAGATTGGACTCCTTGATGGGGCCTATATTGTTTGATACTCATGGCCTAAATCAGGGTTTCCCAAATCTTTTTGTCAGCCAAACTCTTTAGGCATAAAAGTTTTAACTGATGTACCCCCTTAGATTAAGACAATATTTCAGTCATTTATATCAGAGAACCACAAACATGTGAATGTTGTTACTGTTCCTATGTATTTGGTATCATGAGTTCACTGTGAGGTCATGTTGCATTGTCAGAATTATGGCTTTTTTTCCAACAGCTAAAGCTAAACTGTAATAACTCCCGACATCAAAAGAACAATGAATGTCAGTGGATCTGAACTGAACTGAACTGAACTGAACTGAACTGAACTGAAGAGATCAGTAGAAGGAATCCCAAACGAAGTAGGTTAATCTCCGTACTAATGAGGCCACAGGCCATTGACTTCAAAACAGAGATTAAATTCACCAAAAAGTAAAAAAGCAGCCTACTTTCAGAACCTTTGGATACATATCAAGTATTGATTTCTCAAACCTCATAAATGCTTTTGAGAACAGAGTACACAGACAACTCTCCTACATATTTCTCCTACAAAAATGTAATGTAAATATTTCTCTGTATTCCTCAGTATTTGTTGAATGAGAGATGATGGGTGTGCATTTTGAACTGCTACAAATCCTTTGATCCCAGCTATTCAAGTAATCTGTTAAATCCTCTTTAGATCATGTTGTCTACACTGAAATGGAACAAGCTCTCTAGACATTCATCTCCTCCTGAGCTTTCCCAATGCTTTCTGGTGCACACTGCGATGTGTCACTCAATTAAACACTTAGTAATGATCTCAAATCCTTGTTTGTGAGACGATATCTCACATGATCTTATTAGTTGTTACTTAAATCTTCTTAAGTGATTAAATAATATTGTGGTATAAGCCAAAATATTATTAATTAAATTAGGCATAGCTGTTGGTGTCCGACATATTTTGTGTATTAAAACAACCGTGAACAAAAAAGAAAATTAAATAATAATTTAAAAAGAGGTAATTTTGCATATGTATGGTGTATAAAATCCTAACTTTTTTGTGTGTATTATGTTACACCAGTACAGTAGGTCTTGCAGAGCAAAGGTCTGTGCTCCATAGTCATGCATATGGCAAAAACAGGAAGAGTTGCTGTTTCCTTGGGCAGAGCTCACATCCTGTGCTTGGCTGGAACACTCTCAGCTCCCTCAGACCTGCACACTGCCTTGCAGAGATTATTTAAAACCACTCTGTTCTAAATGAGAATACATGCTAGTTTTGTTATATTTGCAGAATTTGCCTTCATTGTTGTCCATTCCTATTTGTTCTGAAGGAGTCATTGGCGTTGGTTTTTTCCACATGGCCACAGTGTTTTGCGCATATATTAACAAATTAAATGTGTAGTTTACCAAAAATGAAAACGTATTAAAGGGGTTCTATTATACCCTTTTATGAAGTCTTGATTTTGTTTTTGGAGTGTACTAGAATATGTTTTCATGCTTGATTGTTAAAAAAAAAAAACACGTCGTTAGTTACTGTTTCGATGAAGCCCCCCCCCATCCAAAATCCAAAATGTGCTGTGATTGGTTAGCTGGCCCAGTGTGTTGTGATTGGCAGCTAAGGAGCGGTAAACCATCTTACATAAGCGAGAGCTTACAAAAGCAACAGAAAACAAGCTGTTCTCCATAAAATGTGCAGCACACAGATAAACGTTGGGGTTATAAGGTTCAGCAACAGTGTTTAAAATAAATTTTAACCACTCTAAATTTGTCTGACTTAAGAAGACCAAACAAAGGGGTTTTGGAATGGGGTTGGGGGCAGGGTGGGAATTATACCGCGGCCATGGCCGCCGTTGCCCTACACTTTGGCCTTCATGCCCCGTGAAAAAAAAAAATCATCGTACGGCCACAGTGGCCTGTGTGCCCGGGCCCTGTCCAAGTTCCATGTATAAAGCGCCAGTGCGGCATAGTGGGCCACCCAAGTAGTCTCTGAACTTCAATTAGTTCGTGGATTCGCGCAGGTGCAGTGTCATAACCAGTGCGTCGGCGCACTGAAGCGTTTCTTTTCCCCATCGCGTTCCCATTCATAAAAAAAACGTCTCTGGTTACTCACGTAACCGTAGTTCCCTGAGAGGAGGGAACGAGACATTACGTATGGGGAAATCCATTTTCCTCGAATCATGAAGTCTGATAGAATAACTCTTTTGCTTGCAAATAGCCAATGGCGGTCCCGCCATCACCTGATTGGCTGACACTGCTCAATATAGGTGACGGCGGGCGCCAAAAACCTCAGAATCTTAGCTGAACGAGAGTAAGGAGACTGAGAGTCCCTCCCACACGGCAGGTTACGTAATGTCTCGTTCCCTCCTCTCAGGGAACTACGGTTACGTGAGTAACCAGAGACGTTCCCTTATCGAGTCGGTCTCTCGACATTACGTATGGGGAACAATAAAACCCCCGCCGCGTGGGAGAAACCCCGCCCAGCTCTCAGAAACAGACACCGGACCTGGTTGAAACATCTATTGGCACAGAGCCAACTCGGCATCTGCACCAACGAAGGCCCCTCCCATCAAGCTAAGCACGCTGAACTGAATGGAGGGAGATTGCAGCAAGTGATTGGTGCTTAGGAAAATACTGCCGGCTATGAATGCGGACATAACAAAGGGCACAATATAGTGAACATGATAGCTATGCTAATAATAACTCGCACTGTCTGACGACTAGTCGAACCTTGGCTAGAGCGTGCGCCATCGGGGCAGTCTAGCCTAGTCCAACGACAGCTCAGCTTTCTCTCCCTGCACTGACAGACATGTGGTGCGAATGAAGGGATATTCAAGTTATAGAATCTCGCGAAGGTATTACGAGACGACAACCTGCCGCGAAACAAATGTCTTGAATAGACATGCCTTTTGCCCACGCCCATGATGACGCCAAACTCCTAGTGGAGTGGGCGTGCACCCCTATAGGGAAACGGCTTCCCGTGAAGCATAAGCCAGCCAGTGCACAGCCTCCACTATCCAGTGAGATAGCCTCCGTTTCGACAGCGCGCCGCCTCTTAGCACCCGTGTAGCAGACGAAGAGCTGCTCCGAAGTTCGAAACTGGCTAGTTCTGTTCACATAAGCACGCAGGGCACGCATGGGGCACAAGCGTACTTCTGAGACTCTGAAACACTGACCTCATCCGGGCAAAATGCTGGAATTGCAACCACCTGGGCTCTGATGAATATACGCAGTAGATAATAGCCCCATAATAGCATAGCACCCCAGTAAACAACAAACACATAGCTGTAGCTACAACTGTGAGTAGACGAGTTAGCACAGAATAGCCAGTTGTACTGAAGGAAACGGGGCAACATAACAGCATAGCACATGTACGTAACAGCATCGGTCGCCGTAGCGCATCCATGCATGTACATAACGCAGCATAAGTCGCCGTAGCGACAGAACTGTGTAGAGACAGAAACTGAGATGTACAGTTCGATCAGGATGGCTAGCTGCACGGAAACGGGGCAGCATTACAGCATAACACATGGTAAATTGCACATCCGTGTACGTACATACATTCAGAAACTGTGAGTATGCACAGTAGATTAAGATAGCTAGTTTTGCACTGAAAGAAACAGAGCAACAAAATAGCAACACGCGTCCTTATACGT